AGTGGTCCTTGGTCAAGTGGTCCCTAGTCAAGTGGTCCCTAGTCAAGTGGTCCCTGGTCAAATGGTCCCTGGTCAAATGGTCCCTGGTCAAAGTGGTCTCTGGTCAAATGGTCCCTGTCAAAGTGGTCCCTGGTCAAGTGGTCCCTGGTCAAGTGGTCCCTGGTCAAAGTGGTCCCTGGTCAAAGTGGTCCCTGGTCAAGTGGTCCCCGGTAAAGTGGACCCTGGTCACAGTGATCCCTGGTCAAGTGGTCCCTGGTCAAAGTGGTCCCTGGTCAAATGGTCCCTGGTCAAAGTGGTCCCTGGTCAAAGTGGTCCCTGGTCAAAGTGGTCCCTGGTCAAAGTAGTCCTTGGTCACAGTGGGCCCTGGTCAAAGTGGTCCCTGATCAAATGGTCCCTGGTCAAAGTAGCCCCTGGTCGAGTGGGCCCTGGTCAAAGTGATCCCTGGTCAAAGTGGTCCCTGGTCAAGTGGTCCCTGGTCAAAGTGGTCCCTGGTCAAAGTAGTCCTTGGTCACAGTGGTCCCTTGTTAAAGTGGTCCCTGGTCAAGAAAAGGTTGGGAACCACTGATCTACACTGTAGAATTAAAGCAGTCTGGTAACACTTTAAATGCCATGGCTCAATAGCTCACATCATCTACTTCAATAGATAGCCATATTCAAACATCTTATAGGAATCAGAGGTTGATTTTCCTTTTTAGGAAGTACAGTTGAATCATCTTCAGAGGAGTTCACTATAAACACTGCAGAGCAGATTCATGCAAATAACTAAAACAGTCGCTAGGTTAGTGTTGCCAATTTTTGAGAAGCCCAACACTGAGTTAAAGGGTTTGGGAGAGTGGTCTAGATGACCTTGGGAGTCCCTTTCGAATTCTATGACTCTGTTCCCTCCATCAGTAACCAACTTATTCTCCTGCCAGGAGCAGCAGATGGAGGCCCGTCAGGCCTGAATGCACTTCCAAAGGCAGTTCAGGTGTTGATGTGACCTTCGCTAATACGTTTAGTGCCTGCGATGATTTGTCTTTTGGGTTTCGCTCAATGGGAAACAGAGCAAAGCAGGAGAGAGGACGGAAATCAATGGTCATCAAAGGCTCATCCAATGGGAAAAGGAGAAAGCACAAGATGGGAAGGAGGGGAAAAATGGCCCTCACAAAACTGTCAACATTGATCAACAAGATGGAGGATGAAGACAGGAGAAAGGAAAGGGGTTTATTTCATCTCGTGCTTTCAAAAATCCGCTTCTCTTTGTGTCTTAGTCATTAGAGCAGTGGTTCTCAACCTTCCTAATGCTGCGACCCTTTAATACAGTGCTTCATGTTGTGGTGACCCCCAACAATAAAATTATTTTCATTGCTACTTCACAACTGTAATGTTACTACTATTATGAATCATAATGTAAATATCTGATATGCAGGATGTAGTTTCATTCACTGGATGAAGTTTGGCACAAATACCCAGTATGCCTGAATTTGAATACTGGTGGGGTTCAGCGGGATTAATTTGGTCATTTGGGAGTTGTAGTTGCAGGGATTTATAGTTCATCTACAATCAAAGAACATTCTTAACTCCACCAACAATGGGATTGAACTAAACCTGGCACACAAAACTCAAGAAAGGAGATTCCATCTGAACATGAGGAAGAACTTCCTGACTGTGAGAGCCGTTCAGCAGTGGAACTCTCTGCCCAGGAGTGTGGTGGAGGCTCCTTCTTTGGAAGCTTTTAAACAGGGGCTGGATGGCCATCTGTCAGGGGTGCTTTGAATGCAATATTCCTGATTCTTGGCAGGGGGTTGGACTAGATGGCCCAGGAGGTCTCTTCCAATTCTTTGATTCTATGATCCCCATGACCAACAGAAAATACTGGAAGGGTTTGGTGGGCATTGACCTTGAGTTTTGGAGTTATAGTTCACCTACATCTAGAGCACTGTGGACTTCAATAGTGATAGCTCTGGACCAAACCTGGCACAAATACTCAATATGCCCAAAAACACTGGTGGAATTTAGGGAAAATAGACCTTGACATTTGGGAGTTGTAGTTGCTGGGATTTATAGTTCACCTACAATCAGAGCATTCTGAACCCCACCAGTGATAGAACTGGACCAAACTTCCCACACAGAACCCCCATGACCAGCAGAAAATACTATGTTTTCTAATGGTCTTTGGTGACCCCTCTGGCAACCCCTCATGACCCCCCCAGGGGTCCCGACCCCCAAATTGAGAAACACTGCATTAGAGGTTGGCCGGAACACCCCTAATTTGCACCCCTTGAGCCAGTCATGAAACAAATAAGAGTGATCCCCCAAATTTGGGTCTTTTATGAATGGTTTGATGGGCTTTCTTTCACTTACAGATGGATTAAAAATGTGGACGTGGGAGGAAGGTGGACCCCAAATTGTGTGCAATCATGGAAAAAATGTCAAAAAAATGTGACTGTATGGGAAGCCGATTAGAAAATGCTTAGATTAAGCACTATAGACCACAGCGCAGTATGACTATGTAAAACAACCCCGTTGATTCCATAGCCTTGAGCCATGATAGTTAAAGTGGTGTCAAACTGCATTAATTCAACAGTGTGGATGCACTCTCAGAGAGTGATGGTTCCTTCTTCATTGGAAGCCTTTAAACAGAGCTTGGTCTGACCTCTCTTAGTTGTGTTTTGGTCCTGCATATTCCTGTCTGGCACAGGGATAGACAAGATGATCCTTGGGATCCCTTCCTGTGAGTCTATGTTTGCATTTTTGGCTCATTAACTTTTGGATTTAGGCATCCTCACCTTCTCGCTGTTAGACCTTCTTAGATTATCTTTGTGTCTGAATCAAATTTACAACTTCTGCAGCCAGGTTCTCGCATCTGGATGAATTTTTAAGAGTGTCGTTTTCCATTTAATCATTTCTTTATAGTTGCTGTTTAGCTTCATTGCTTCTTGTTTAGATAACTCTCATTCTCTTTTCCTACTGGGCATAGAATAATAGTGACACCAAGCCACCCTTGTAGGACGGTTTACATTATTTCCTAATCCTTGAGCAACTTTTATCCTCGTAAAAGCGCAACTCCAGGATTTCATTGTGAAAGTGACTGCAAATTGCATTAACAACAACAACAACAACAACATTTTCATCCATGTTTTAATGCAGCCCTAGTCTGGGCGTCCAGTCTGTGGCTGAGCAACCTGACACTGAGGCAAATATGTACCTAAGCACCTTGTTGTAGATTTACAATCTCTTTAGGTTTCTCTGCTAAAGAGTGCTGGTTCCTTCTGAAACTACAATTTCCAAGATTCCATTGCATTGAGCACCCTTAGGAAGACTTTGCAACCTCTTCTTTTGTCCATGACTTTATAAAGTGTAGCTGTTATTGAGAAATTGACCCCCTTCCTCAAATAATAACTATAAATGTATAACTTATTTTACTGACTCATACAAACAGATCTTGCCTGGGTCTCAAGTCCCAGTCCAGCCCCAAACATTCTTGGGAGGATTAATTTAATCATTTCCCAAGCCCAAGAACCTTATCTCATACTAATTCCCCCCCCCCCCTTTTCTCATGGTCTTTTCATGCTTTTTTAATGAACAAAACACACACATATACACACAAAAACTGGGATGCAACCATAGATATATTTCTGGGCACGCAAAGAAACTTGATATAATATATGAGGTTGTGAAACTGTTGTTGGGGTTGAACATTCAGGAAGCCAGCCTGATATCCAGCTGAGAAGGAATCCCCGCAGGGAAGCAAGAGAAGTAATTAAGGTCAGGTTCCAAGAAAGCCATGCAGGTGTTTCATAAATATCAGATAGGAGATGTACCTCAATGAAATATCTATCGGGGTGTATGTTTCCTATTCAATTGTATATATTTGCATAAACTTTGACTTTTGTTTCTGGAGTAGGCATCTATTGTAACCCCCCATAATCCCATCCTGGACTATTTCAGACTATTTTCCAAATCCAGCATCAAATGGACAACTGGCAGCTCTTACATTTTTCCTGCCATGAGGAAGTTTTTCCCACCTCTGACATCACAAAGAGTTCCTAGCCAATGACAGCTAAGATCTTAGCTTGGTCATTCCTAAGCCAATCAGGGGATCGAGTGGGTCTTCTAAATGGCTGCCAAAGGAGATAAAATGCTTTGCACTGAATTGTATATGTTTTGATTGTGCTTTTCCTGTATGGCAGGGGATTGGACTAGATGGCCCATTTAGAACTCTATCACTCTATGATTCTGTGTTATGCTGGTTCTTTGGACGATTACGCTCTTCTGACATCCACCTGGCCAGACAAATAAATTTCCATTTCTGCCTTTGAACTCGGTCACATTTTTCCTGGCTTTCAAGGTAGCATGGTGTATTGGACAACGGACCTACACTGACTCCTTGTGGCTTATAGAAAATTTAAGCAAGATAGCTAGATTAGATCAGTGCCCTGAGTTACTCCCCCATTTTAGAATGGAGTCCCCCCCCCCCGCCCCCAAAGTCATTGGCATGAATGCTCACTAACCATTACATGCATTTGAACAACTGCATACCAGAACAAGCCATCTGTTTTGGTGCTCTTTTGCAGTCCAGTGTCAACCTGGCTATTTACAGACTCCAAATTTATTTATTGCCATCCAGAAGTCCTTGAGGTGTCAAGAAGGAATAGGAGATATTGGACATAAACCTCCCTGTGTTAACTTGTTATCTGCAGGCAAAGCCTTGGAGCCTAAGTGTGCATCTACAATGTAGAATGAATGCTGTATGACACTACTTTAACTGTCACTGCTCAATGTGATGGAATCCTAGGAGTTGTCATTTTAGCAGCATTCTCTGTTGGTGCCTTACCAAGCTACAACTCCCAGGATTCCATCACATTGAGCTTTGACAGTTGAAGTGGTGTTAAACTACAATAATCCCACAGTGCAGATGCAACATCAGGCAAGTCTGAAAGGATGTGAGTGTATTTCGCAGGTTAGCCCAAGTATAGCCCTATTGCCCCCCATTTCCCAGCTGCTTTGGGGCTACTCACAAGGAGGCTGAAATCATCCTGGTGGCTGTACAAATGTCTGTGGCAGCTGAGGCAGTCCTTCCGGCAGTCACTGCTGAGTGCATAGGCGAAAGCGAGAAACAACAAGGAGCTCCGCAGGAGGATCCACATGGTGCCGCTCTCAAAAGGCTATTGAGGAGGAAAAGAGAAAAAAGAGAGGAGGATTACACCAGTATAAGCATTGTTCTGTCACGCGCTGGGCCTGTAAATAATTGTCTTTAAATAGGACGTGTGTGACCTTTGCCCAGCAGGAAGCCAGGGGGCCCAAAGAGAATTTCTCAGAGGTTTTCCACCACAAATAATCTTTAGATGGCTTGTGAAGTATAACAAAGTCCTTTATTAATGAACAATCAAACAAAAACTTCTCTTGTCTTCAGAAAGTTAAACAAATGATTCCAGGCTTTCAAGCAACTGGTGGCTTCCTAATCTTGCCCACAAAGGACAGGCAATTGTCTTCAAAACTGATTCTTTACTTTAAAGGAAAATTCCCTTTTTAACTTCTCCCAGGCTGTCTGTAATCTAATTCTTACTGATGTGGGCTCCGCTACCGGGTCGAATTGCATCTCGAACGCCGAGTGGACCTACCAGTAAAGGCTTAGATGTTCTCCAGCTGGAGTTCTTTGGTCTTTAGGGCTGTTTCCCTGGAAATCTTTGGAGATCTTTGAATGCTCTTAAGACTGTTCTCCACCGGAAAGTCTTAAGGGTTGAAGCTTTTGTACAGGGGAAGCTTGCACACGTCCTGTACATTAGCTTTCCTTGCCGAGAATCACTAAAAATGGCTCCCTTCCTTTCCCAATTGCCCTGAGCAAGGGGCGGAACCAAAACTTAATGATGATGGACAGGTGACTTGCCCTATGACTGCAACCAAAGGAAGCCACCTTGCTGCAGAACCTTGAAACCTTGGCTTGCAAACAAACATTTAATACAAAGCAAATAAAGTTGGAGCTCCTGGTATAGCCGTACCAGCACAGGCATTCCCCATCTACCAAAAGTTGCAGGAAATGAAAAGTAAACATGAAACTCAATTTTTAAATACATACATCATAAGATGCTGAGTTTGGTTGCCACATACATATGGGTCTGCCAATGGATTGAGGTCTTGGGAAGGGAGAACTCCTTTGTGTGTCCCACCACTGAGACCAATGATTTGGTCACAGTAGTAGGGCTTTCTCAGCTGTGATGGTGCAATCATGGAGTGCCCTCCCATTAGAAACTTCATCCCACCTTGGAAGCCTATAGAATCCTAGAGTTGGAGGACTTCAGAGGCCAACCCCATTCTTACAAGCAGGAAGATACAATCCAAGTCTTCCTGGCAGATGACCATCCAGCCTCTGTTTCAAACCCATCAGAGAAGGAGACTCCACCAAATTCCCAGGCTGTTTATCTTCCATTGTAGTTCAAAGGGACTCCAAAAGGCCATCCAATCCAACCCCCTTCTCCCAGATGGAACATTCAATCCAAGCTCTCCCAACAGTTGCGTAAAAACCTTCAGAGAAGGAGACTCTATTGGACTCTGAAGTAGCAGCGTATTCTACTATTCCACAGATCTTACTACTAGAAAATTATAAACAGCTATTGTAGATACACATTATATATAATGGAGCATTTCTATATTATTGATTCATCTCTTTAGAAAGTTATTATTCTTTTCACTTTTTTTTGCACTTTTCCTTTCTTTACCCCTCTCCAATACCCCTATTGCAATAAGAAATTCAATAGGCAGATTTGATAAAAGGGAATTTAATATGATGTGTGGGAATGAATGGAAGAATGAAAGATAAATGCATGGATGGAGCTAATAATTTTGGAAAACACCAATATAATATTAAGGCCTGAAATGACTATACCTACTTGCTGGACTGTAATTAAAACCTGCTAATGAGAAATGAAAAGTAAACTCTGATAAGAACTGGGACAGTGATAACAGAAATGTTTGCAGCATTCCTTATGTTAAGAAGAAAGTCAACACAAGCCTTGTGTTTGTCAACACCAATCAAGAAGAATCAACATCTGGCCAGGAAACTGAGATGGATCCAGGATGGAAGATGTCTATCATTCATTTACAACTTTGGGACTAAATCAGCAGAATATTCCTATAAAAGACTCAGTCTAATAATGCTCAAGTGTGGCAGACCTGAGGAGTCTGTTCCACCCGCTATGCTCTGCTCCATGGGAAGGAGAGAGATAGTGTACCTATGGAGAGTGGCAGATTTGCAAGGGAGCAGTATGGTCACGTTGGGGCTTCTTTCCCAAAGGAAGAGGAAGAATTGAGCTTTTGAAGTCTTGGATTGAATGTTCTGTCTGGGAGAAGGAGGTTGGACTGGATGGCCTTTGGGAGTCCCTTTGAACTACAATGGAAGATAACTGCCTGGGTGTCTGGTGGAGTCTCCTTCTCTGATGGGTTTGAAACAGACTTCAGAGGCCAACCCCATTCTCACAAGCAGGAAGGTACAATCCAAGTCTTCCTGGCAGATGACCATCCAGCCTCTGTTTCGTGCAGGGAGTCAGGTTCTGCTGTATGGAGATCTGGTCCTTGGCATTATGCTTAGGGAAAGAAGTTTTGGCATTTCAGCGTTTTGAAATTATGGCATTATGAAGTTATGGATCTATGCATTGACAGGCTGCAGGAAAGCAGGGTCTGGCCTAACAGGTGCTTCTCCAAGGAGAGAGAAAAGGATATGTTAATATTTGAATGCTTGAGGATGAATGCGTGTACATGTGGTGTGAATGCTGAGTGAAAATGTAATTTCCCTTTGTTTGTTTGTTATCCAATGTAATTGTAAACCCAATGTAGTTGTATAGAATCTGTATGCCTGTATATCTAATGTCATTCTTTGTCTAAATGTTTTTCTGTAATCTGATGTCCCCTCTCACACTGGAAATTGCAATAAAAAGAACTTATGCTTTAAAGTTATTGAAAAGTAATTCATGACACTATCACATTTTTCTCTGTATTGTTAACCATGAACACAATTTTCTTAGTCTTTGTACAGTATTTGTGTTGGCTTCACTTTTTCTATCCATCCCACACAGATCAACCATTTCTCTTCAAGAATCCAAGGTAAAGACTTGGAAAGGCAGCTCCAAAGATCCTCAAATGCAAAGATATCTCACTGAATAATACCAAAGTCAGCCTCATGCATGAAATAGTATTTGGGATTTCTCTGTATGGTTGTCAAAGCCGGACAATGAAGAAAGCTGCTAGGATGAGAATCAACATGTTTGAAATATGATGCTGGGGGAGAGTTCTGCAGAGACCGGATTGTCAAAATAACAAATGAATCTGTCTTAGGGCAAATCAAGGCTGAATTCTCCCTAGAAGCCACAATGACGGAAGTGTTGCTATTGGGCTTCTGGCACATCATGACTCATTGGAAAAGCCATTCATGCTCAGTTAACCGAAAGACAAAAGGAAGAGAGAGAGACAGGCTGGATTCCATGAATGAAGCTGCAGCTCTGAGTTTCCAAGACCTGTGCAGGAGAGAAGGTGACTGAGGCTGGATCTACACTGACATTTAGTGCAGTTTCAGAATGCAGATTATCTGCATTGAAGTGGACTATATCAGTCTACACCAGGCATGGGCAAACTTCACTCCTGCAGGTGTTTTGGACTTCAACTCCCACAATTCCTAGGAATTGTGGGAACTGAAGTCCAAAACACCTGGAGGGGCGAAGTTTGCCCATTACCGGTATACACCCATTGCATTTCATAAATGAATATATAAGGGATGTGACGGCGCGAGTGGCGCCACCTATGTATAGAACTTTTAGTTGTAAGAGTTAAACTGTTGTATTATGCTTAATCCTGCCCCTTTTACCATGTTTATGTATAGTTGTATGGATTGGTTGCTTGTAGCTGTCAATCAGTACTGTTTGGCTCCCCTCTTCCTGCAAGAGGGGAGAACTTCCTTTTTCCTTTCTTTCTGCCATAACAGTTCCTGCAACATGGACATGAGTAAGAGACTTGATTCTAAAAGACCCTGATTTAAGTTACCTCTTAGCACCAGTTCTGAGGTTTTTTTACCCCTGGGACTCATGCTTTATGTCCAGATCGTCCTGGACAATTATTGAGGAGACCCAGGGGCCTTCAAGCCGGTTCTTTTGGCACCGAAGGAAGATCCTGAATCTTCAAAACATAGGCCATCTGAACTGGGGTTGTGGTTTGCTCCGGCATTCACAGCCATTGAGGAAAGAGGAAACTTGGTGAGGCTTCTCAGCTTCAAACCCCTTGGACCCAGGACTGATTGAGACTGTAACGTATGTTTTCCTTCATCCCTCTAAAGTTTTCCAGCTCATTGCTTTGAAGAAATGACTTTGTAATAAAGAAAACTTATTTTGAGCTATTTACAGCGTTTTGGGTTTTTTGGGAGTTCCAGTTTCCTATAGGAGGGCAAGAAGCAATCCCCTGGGGGAAAGGTGCCAGGTCCATCCCTCCTTTATTGAGAATAATAGCCCCCAGGGGCAACGGCACAAGGGAACATACAACTAGATTCATAGCAATCATGCACCATCTTAAACTTCTCAAAGCTTAAACACACTCAGTTGCCCCAGCCACTCCTCAGAGGGATTCCTAGTTTCCTGACCATTGACCATGTTGGTCTCCATCCCTTGGATACCTTCCAGCTTGTCCACCTCCTTCTTGAATTGCTTTGCCCAGAACTGGATCTAGCATTCCAATGGCATCCTCCCCAATGTGCGTGTGTGTGTGTGTGTGTGTGTGTGTGTGTGTGTGTGTGTGTATATATATATATATATATATATATATATATATATATATATATAACATACACTTTTACCCTGCCCTTCTCCCCTTAAGGGTGGACTCAGGGCGGCCTCACACAAGCTCCATATGATGCTATCATCATATAAATAGTTAACAAATACATTAAAACGTTAAAAACCATTAAAACAACAGATTAAAGACGCCAGTTAAAACCGAATCCAGTCTGGGTTAATTCAGTGTCGTGACATCTTAAGTCTTCTTTCCGCTATCCACTAATCGAATGCCTGGTCCCAAAGCCAAGTCTTCACTTTTCTTCTAAAGACAAGAGGGAGGTGGCCAGCCTCATATCCCTGGGGAGAGTGTTCCACAGACAGGGGGCCACAGCCGAGAAGGCCCTGTCTCTCAT